GCTGCAGACGAGGAAAGCTCGGGGCACTCGGAGCGGCTGGAGCCTGCCCGGCACCGTGGAGCTGACACCGGGACACGGCACAGTGAGGGCACCGCGGGCATGAGAGAGCAGGGCTGGGGCTGAGCCAGCGGCTTTGGGAACAGCGCAGCGAAGCTGCCGGAAGGTTTTAATCTCGATCCCGCAAAGCTCCTTTCTGTCCTTTAGGCAAGGCAGGGATCACCGAGCTTTAGGGAAGCAGCGTTGGGAGGCGGGAGGGGAAAGGGGCAGCTGGGGGTGTTTTGGTTTGTGGTGGTTTGTGGTTTTCAATCGCAGCAGAGGAAATGCTCGCGTTTAATCACGAAGGGGTGTAATCCCTGCTGAGAGCTGGGAAAGCAGGAGTCTGAACGCCGCCTCTAGACCAGGGCAGTAAAAGCTGCTCCGTGCTCTCTTCTGTTTGTGCCCACAGAGCCAGCACATCACCCCTCTGCCCGTGTCCCTGGGGATTGATTCAGTGGTGCCCTGGGAGCTCAGTCTGCCCTGACACACTGTTGGACACATCCGTGCACCGCCTTCCCATCCAGCCATGCTGCACTTTCTCTGGGACAGCATCTCCTTCCCTACAGTCCTCATCTTCCTCGTTGTCTTCCTGTTTGTCGCCGATTACATGAAGAACAGAAACCCAAAGAACTTCCCTCCCACCCCTTTACGCCTTCCCTTTATAGGGCATCTTTATTTGATGGACTTCAAAGATCCCATGAGTGGAGTGGAGAAGGTACAAGGGTGGTGGGCACAGTGGCGGAAGGAACAGAGGGATTTGCAGCTGCAGGGAAAGGGTTAAACCAGATGCCATGGGCCAGGAAGGAGGTTTGTCATCATAAGTGCCATTTACCTGGGTACAAGGTGGAGCACAAGTGCACAATGATCCCTGAGACAAATGTCACAACACGATCGTACAGGTGTAGTCACAGATGTAGGAACCTCATAGTACTGAGCTGGGGGCTGGGAGGGTGTTTGGTAAGGGAGCACAACAAAAGCTGGAAAAGCACAGAACTGAAAAATTAAACCTGATAGAGATTTACCTTTTTTTATGGCTAATTAACATCAACTCCTTATCAGTCCTTCCAGAAAAGAGGAAAGAAAAAACACCGTGCATTCAGGCAGAGATTTGTGCACAAATTCTGTTTCCTCTCCCACTCTCAGCTTCCCTTATTTTTACCTGTGCCCTACGACAGGGCTGTCACTGTCCCAACAGACATATTCACTTCAAATGAAATCCACTTTATTTATTTCCTCATCCAGCTTACTGAAAAATATGGTGACATCGTTGGCACTTCGATGGGCAGCATGAAGTTTGTGATAGTAAATGGGATGCGGCTGGTTAAGGAAGTGCTTGTAAACCAAGGGGAAAACTTCCTTGAGCGACCAGAAATGCCTACTGAAATCTTCAGCAAGATAGGTGAGTGATCCCTCAGGACATGCACCTCAGCTGGAAGGTCCAGGTGTTGGCCCTGCAGAGGTCTGAGACAGCTGGGGAGAAGGCAGAGCCCTGGAGCTTTTCCACTCCCTGGGGGATCGGCCTTGGCTCACAGGGGGCTGTTTCTGCCAGGACTGATCAGCTCCAGTGGGCACTTGTGGAAGGCACAGAGGAGGTTCACCT